ATCGTTATTATGAAAATATACAGGAGAGAAATATTTATTGTAACGGTGCATAGAATTTAAATAACTATTATAACAAGACACAAAAGAAAACTAATTACCATTAGAATAATTTTCAGAAAAAATACACGTTGCCATAATCAAATACACAAAAACGATATTCTCATTTATAGCATGATGATACAGACACGTAAAATATTTATTATTAGGATCATACACAACAGACATTTGCTATAATAATAATATACACAGGGAAAAATTCATTACCATAATCACATAGTGAAAAGATATATTCACTGTCGTAACAATACACCTACAGAGGAAAAGTAGTAATTTTTATAATCATATAGGCAGAAAAGAAAAATTCGCTATTATAATTAATCTATATAGCAATTAGCTCGACCTATAATGAAAAGAGAAGATAATTAACGTCGGTATATTGAACTTACATAACTTTCTGCAGTATCGAACAGAATTTTAATGGAAAGGTAACACGCAGTAACCCAGGTAAATTGAGGTATGCTAAGTTATGAGGAAGACTGTATTATATGGCGATTTATATTATGGTGAGATTGTGGAAACCCTGAGTTGTAATCAGGGATAAAGGAAATAATCATTATTAACGGTTGAATACCTGAATTTTTCACCGACACTGACCTGGAAACTCTGTCAAAACGATACGGTACTGCCACGTAAGAGCTATTAAATGCAAAAGACCTGGCTCAGGTAATAAAGGATTAATAACAAGGATTATATAATGAACGGATTAATATACTTCAATAGAATTTATTTATTTTTCTTTTTTAAACGAAAACGATCGACGAGCATATTCACTGAACAGATGGTGCAGACCAGTTTTTAATTTCATTTTATTACTAAACAACGATACATACCTTGGATTCTTATCTGAAAATTAGACTTTTAATCCCTTGCAATCGAAAGGCGACTCTCAGTCACCATTTCATAAAATTTGGAAGACTAATTTTATATAATGAACAGATTAATATACTTCAATAGAATTTATTTATTTTTCTTTTTTAAACGAAAACGATCGACGAGCATATTCACTGAACAGATGGTGCAGACCAGTTTTTAATTTCATTTTATTAATAAACAACGATATATACCTCGGATTACTATCTGAAAATTAAACTTTTAACCCTTTGCACTCGAAAGGCGACCCTCAGTCACCATTTTATAAAATTTTGTAGGCCAATATTAATTAATATATCAAATTTAAGATAATGTAACAGTGTGCGAAGTATCGAAATCAAATAAGTCTAAGTGGTAATTATTATACGACTCTATATACTGCTAAAGAAATATTGTCAGGTTTGTAGCAGAGAATCTTTGAATTTCTACTCTTCTCTAGCCAAAAAATCGTCGAGTGCGAAGGGTTAATTTGCATCGAGGACCAACCATACCTCCAGTTATTTTACAATTTCAACATAATTATAGCGCGTTGAAAATAATTAAAACTTCCCTCGAAGCTAGATTCTATCATTCATTCGTTATCAAAATACCTTTCATTATTTTCTCATTATAATACATTAATTCTACTGCTAATCCATAAACCGATACCAATTTCCACAGTATACATGTCCAAATTAGACGAATTCACGAGTAAACATAAATAAAAAATTATCCATAATATTTATTTAAATATCGAATTGTCAAATTTATTCATAATTCATAACACACAACCAAATTATCGTCAATCTTTTGTACTACAATGAGTCTGATTCGACATAAACTTTTTATTTCAAATCTCGTAACCATAAGCTGCATTAATCACGTGACCATAATTTCATTCAACACGTTTCAACATTCATAAAATTTTGAGAGTTTCTGAAATTATTCTTCAGTTTTATGGAATGAGTAAATAGCTATTAAAATTAAACGCTATTTCGGTGCATAATTTTCCATAAAAATAATTTAATTAAAATTTTCATAATAATTTTTCTTCCTGAGATACTTTAATACGAAATCATGGTATTCGTACTAATCCGTTCAATAATTCACGGAAGTTCAATAGATATGCTTCATGTGGCCAGTTATCAGTGTAATAAAAATCCCCGTAGCTTCTATCCGCTTAGGGTTATCGTGTAATAATCAACATCGTTTGATAGCAGCATGGAAGTCAGACCCTGTCCAATTAGAGGGTGTCACGGTTTTTTCCATGACATACGGGCCGATGAGGGTCTCTTCGTGATAGAACCCTAATAGGGAGAAGGAGGGTTAATGTTTTCAACCCCAAACAGATTCTCATGAAGCTATATATAACGGCTAATGGGAGTCAGTTTTCGTTATGGTGGCCTAGCTATATGTGAAGATATCAGTCCGGGATATGCGGGCTCTTTGTGGGCCATACAGCGCATACGTGTCCCATGAACGAATTGAAATCTCCATTTCCATTGTAAATCGCGTCGCTGTATCGACTTGTGAATGAAAAGCAGGCTATCGTCGTGTATATTTCTCAATGTCAGTTTTTCCTCGAACACGACTTCATAGACAGCTTCTCTAATGTTCTTTCATCCTTCAGTGGAATTTTTAATAGAGTTCATTTTGCGAGTAGTTTTGACGTTGCTCATCACGTGCAACACGTGATTGACATTATATTTTCCTATTGGAAGTGACATTTATGAACTGTAACGCTAATTTCCGTATTATAAGCAATGCTGTAAATGTCAGCAGTAAATAGTCAATACAAATTTAACCCTTTGCACTCGAGAGGTGAGCTTCAGTCACCACTTCATAAAATTTGGAAGATCGATATTAATTAATATATCAAATTTAATATAATGTAACAGTGTGCGAGGTACCGAAATCAAATAATTCTACAATTCTGTTATTATATTATTCTTTATTTACTGCTCAAAAACGTATCGTCAATTTTTTAGTAGAGAATCTTTGAAATTTTACTCTTCTCTAGCCAAAAAGTCGTCGAGTGTAAAGTGTTAAAACAACAAAGTGAAGCAAATACATAAAAATATTCGTGAAATATATATATTTTTTCCAATTTTCATTTCCCAATTTTTATTTTCTGCTGTAAATTGTTTATGGATACAAACTATTTTTCAATTCGAAATTTCTTTAGAAATATATTGCCATACTGGAGTTGATCAAATTGTTACGAATGACGAAATACATAACGACAGTCATTTCTCGTTTACATAATTTCATTTTCATAATTTCCATAGTCAATACAAATTTACAACAACAAAGTGAAGCAAATGCATAAAAATATTCGCGAAATGTATGTCTGTTTTCCAATTTCTATTTTCTAATTTTTATTTTCTAATTTAAATTGTTTATGGATACAAACTACTTTTCAATTCGAAATTTCTTTAGAAATATATTGCCATACTGGAGTTGACAAAATTGTTACGAATGACGAAATACATAACGATAGTAATTTCTCGTTTACATAATTTCGTTTTCATAATTTCCATAATTTCGTTGCATGATTTTCATCCCTGACGATTCGATAGTTGGTTGGCAGGAAAATCGAGTGAGAGGCTCAGACACAATGTTTGCCAATGACAAAGATGATTCGCAGTTTTGCTCTTAACGTTGCGCATTGTGGCCTTTTCACCTTTCTTGTTTCAGTCGGATTATCTTCGGAAGTCCATAAAATTTATACATTACCCGTATGAAAAGCTGGCTGCACGAGCTGTTAGAAATTTCACGAATAGATTTTTTGTATTAGCATGAATCGGCGTATTGCATTGTTACGACACATCGAGATCGGCGTATAATCGAATGCTAACAATGCGTGGACGGTGGTTATTTACAATCTACGACTTACATCGTGCATGAATAGAAGCTCAATTTCATTCATGCGACTCTTCTCAGTATTCTATCGCGCGGCTACATTCGTGCTATCCGATCACACTGCATTGAATACCGCAAGTGAAATAGTTACGTCGTCTTTAGAACGTCGACGTAACGTTCGGTTATCTTTTCACCTTACTTAATGCACGGTGAAAACCTTCATTGAAGTATCCTGCGTAGACCAACACCTAAAATCGTAAATTTGCGTGTACTGTAATTGCGCGAAGCAGCACATCCAATTATAATTTTTAAACAAATTCGAACAATATCGAATTTACTATAGATTTATTCTATAAAATAATTTTGTAAATCACAAATTTAAGTTATAAACGTTTGATGGAAGAAATCAACCGTATTTCGTTTTTAGAAATTAATTAGTTCATTAAAGGTGTAATAGGGTAAACAATAGTGTTTTAGTGCAATGAACGTATAACATTATTTTGGTTGTTATTGTAACGTATTATATAATTATATTTTAGAATGGAAAGTTTGAAAATATTTTTCGTCAGTTTTGAAATAAAGAGAAAATCAGGTTCGATATCATCAACTTTCTTAAATACGAGATAAGCAGACGCGCTGATAACGATATAATACTACGCTCTTATAAATATGTCTTTAAATAACAAGCCTCGTACCTATGTGATAAATCAATAAAGGAAAAAACATTTAAAGAACCGTTTAAAATTGATCTTGCGAGGATTATTAGCAGTGGAGTCATCGTTACCATTGTAAAGGTCTCATATCGCGTGCTACCTAGCAATTGCTAGTATTTTTGGAGTGTCGTTTTGGTTGACAGTCATTGGAAGAGCTGCGTTTCGTAAGCATCGTGGGGGCTGATCGGTCTAAAAACAGCCATGCTACTGGGTATCCCAAAACCACCCTAAATTTCGACCAATGGGAAAGAACAGGATGAAGGGGAACAAGAACGATTCGAAAATCCGCGGACCAAGGGGTTGCTGGTACCGGTAGAACGAGGGAGAGATGTTTTGTATGATTGGTCTGAGGAGACGGCGTGGTTGCCAAATCTCCGCGGATAGCGGCTCGCACGTGGTGGGGATGACTGGCAGTGACGCGCGGTCTGATTGGTGGAGCTCGCGGTGCCGCCTTTCGAGTCTCACTGACTGTCGCGCGGTCGCACGGATCCTCAGTTCGCATTCGGAGGCCCTGCGAGCTACATCTCATTGAGAAGGAAAAGAAAGAGCCGACGGGAGCTTTCAAGTTTCCCCCTCCACGGGAACCGCGACAAAGATTCTTCGATCCGAAAAAGTGCCAAGTTTCTCTCGCACGTACTCTCTCTGTCACCGGTACACATATACGTATATACGTAATCGTCTTTCGTTTTCACGGTGATCTCTACACGTGACAAGCTGAGCATCGAAGAGGCTCGAAGACAAGAGAGCGGCGTGCTTGTTCGACGCGAGAGGAGATACTTACTCGTCGATCGTTCGAATTGGTTGATTTCGCGAATCTAACTCGCGTCTTCGTTGGTCTCCTCGTACGTTGCGAGAGTCGAACGGGTGTGCTTCCAATGTAAATCAACAAGAGCGTATCGTCGGAGTGGCAGTTTTTGTGTTCTCGAAGTTGATACATACAGCCGCGGTTTTTTCTCAAATTTTCACCGGCTTTCGTGCTACACCACGCACGCTGCCCTGATCTCGAAGGGGAAGAAGGCTAGCCACGGCCGGATCGCGACTACGTTACAACTAGCTCCAGTGTGTTTTTGTGCGAAATTGAGGGAACATGTCGACTGCCGTCATGAGCACCCCTATGTTCGAGTGTAGCGAGCATTTATTTAAGGTAAGATTTTTTTTACATTTCTCACACGATCGTGTTTTGTCCTTCGTCTTTTTGCCACTATTTTTTCTTTTTTTCTATACTTTCAATGTTGTCGATACGTAGGGCCACAGGCTACATGGTACGATAGTGTCATACGTACCGTTCAGCAAACATTAAACTACGGTTATAGGGATACTTGAAACATTACGAATCCAACGAATTCTTTCTATATTTGGACTCGTGAACTTTGTTGTGAATCAGGTGATGTTTGACATGTTTGTTTTGCCAGTGGATATTCCACATTATCTTTGTCGATTACTTTCTATTAAGATTACACTATCGCGAACGTGTTTCCTATCGTTTCGAAGAATCGAGAATCCGAGTGATAGCGGCTGGTTCTAGATGCAAAGATGGCTGGTTCAGCACGTGGCATCGCGAATACCAAGAAATTTCGTAGCGTGGTCGTTCGCGTTGAATTCTCTCGTGGCCGTTGTAGTACTCGCTGGTACTCGGTGGTACCGTGGCGCAAACATTTGTGCAACGGTGTTGGTACGTATTCTGTTCCGACTGCCACGGTCTATTGCACTGCCGGACAAATATGGAATGGAACGGGTAGAAATGGTGTACAGAGGATCTGTGCGGTTAGGTTGTATAGCAAAAACAGGGCCGCGCTCTAGGATATGGTGCATCTTTACAAATAAATTATACGAAATTTCAACCTCGTTAGAAAGACATTCTAATTGCCTGTCTTACGATGGCTATGGTAAGAGTATTTATTTTGGCGCGCAACGGCATGGGAGATAGTGATGTAAGTGTTATTTTCGATCGCGTGGTAGCTGCTTTCTTCCACGTTTATTTCTTTCCAATGAAATTTCTCCTTTAAATCGTCTTCGTTCCCGTGTCTGTTCAATTTAACTCGACTTTCCAATTTATTTTGCAATTCGTCGAAAATGGAGCAAAATATCCACGATTTTTGAACTTGATTTTCCAAGAGACCTTTTCGATATCTTTTACGAATAATTTTTCGTACATAACCTATTTTTAAATTTTACGCGTTTCTCTGCCTTTTTGATAAATATATTTATCTTTATGTATATTTGAGTATAGATATACGTAATATAGCTTCGGTTCGTAGCCAGACGTGAAATTCGTATGAAAACAAACTCGAACTTTATTTCTTGCACAAATTGGGGGTCGTTCGCATTGTCGTTGTAAATATTCTTCATTTGATAAACTTGTTGACTCAGTCACGTTTGTGTTCTGACTTTTGGAGCTCGGTACGCGCACGAATATATGTCTCAACAATTGCTAGTGCCTTTAGTTTCAGTTTCGCGTATAGTCGATCGATTATCAGCTCCACGGACGACATTGTTGCTCGCAGCTGTGACTCGCTCGAACTTGCGACGACATGATCGTTCCTAGCATAACCGCGCACCAATGTGTTTGTGTTTTTCCGTCCTGCGTCGTTCGTTCACGCTTCTCAAATCTCCGATTACAGTGATTCTCATCCTTCGGAATTTGCGTTTCACTTTTATCGTTAACGTATTTCTAATACTTTTAATACTTCTTCTAATGCTGGATTCATGGTCGAAGATACGTTATCGTGCTGCGATAGAGTTTGTTTGTGAACCAAGAAATGGTCGAATAATTTAGAAATGGCGTCTAACGTCGATTTACGTTTGGTGACGTAAAAATTTCTTTTTGATACTTTTTGTATATATCGATGAATGGAGTATAAGCTATATGTATAATGTACTCAAATATCGCTTTTATTTTCCTAGATATGAATTAAAATTTCGTATATGTGTATTTGTTTTATTCGTGTGCTCGAATAATTTTTATCGTTTTCGTTTATGATAAATTTTATTCGGGATAAGCGAGTTTCTGGTTTTGTCATAGAAATAAGGTTATCAATCGAGTCTGGGGGAAAAGAGATATTGTACATTTAATCTACTACTGTTTTATTGAGCGTGTAAGTTATCTCTATATATTGATATACCTCTGATATATACAAACTTGATATCTATGAAGTCTATCAGCAAGTGGGGCGAGTTTTCAAACATGAATTTAGCCAGAAAAATATAAATCTACCGAAAAACGAGTTCACAATGTGGGATTAAATGAATATTCGAGTTAGAATCTAGTTCAGGCGTTAGATCTGGCGATTTTGATAAAGTTTACAGTATATTCTGCTTTGCGTGCGCGTCTAGGCTAGTTTTCACGAATCGTGTTTCGCATATTACCGTTAATGTAGATCCCTATTTTGTTATACGACACAGACATGTTCTAGGAACATGTGGCTTCCTTTATTTCGCAAGTTTTGCCGGTTTCTCCGAAGCATTATTGGAATAAAATTGTATCATACCTGCTGATATTCTCTAATTTGAATACAAATGCCTTTGTTCACCGGTTACGAGAAAAACAGGCAAATAATTTCATTTATGTTTACCAACTTCCTTTTGTATGCATAACCGTCAATCTGGTTCGGCGATAAGAGAACGTGGCGAAGCTTGTTACGATTTTTCTTCTGGAACAAAGTTCTTATTTTATTTTCATTCTTTTTTCTTTTTGCCTTTTCATTTTTTCTTTCTTTTCTTTTTTTTCATAGATATTTGTACACGTGGCGTGATTTCTAATAAGAACGTTTGAAGGAAGACTCCCGGTTATTTTCCACTGTATAATTTTTTTTCTACGAAGCATGAATTCGAAATTTACAATTCACGAGATTTATTTGAATTGGAAATTGTTTTAGTGCTACTATAATAACGTCCATTTGATCGTTTATTTATTTTAACATTGACGCGATATTTTATTGGTTACCTGGGCTATAAATAATAGTTCACACGTGATATTGAAAATCGTGAAAATTGTACACAGTGACACACGAAAATTATTTATTTTCACTTCCAAGTGTCTTATCAGAGAAATCTGTATATCGTAATTAATCATTTTTATACGTTTATCTGATTTCATGGTATACCAGGTTCTGCTCTTCCTTGTTACCATTAACACCAGGGATATGAAACGAATCAAACTGATTTATTTCAGATATGTTACTTTTGCAATTATTTATGGAAATTTGTTCGAATAAAATCGTCAGTATATATACTTATTTCTAATATCACTACAATTATTATTCGTGTATAGTACTTTCAATGTTTGTTGCAGATTGGTAGTGTCTAATATTAACGCTACAAATTAAAAAGAAATAGAAGAAAATTAATTACTTGAAATAATTATTTCTCAATTTTTGGAAGTATATTGAAATATTTCATATACTATCTGGTTATACCTTTTAATTATTTACACTCCATCTAACCACGTAATAAAATAAAATCGATTGGCCGAATAGGGACCTAACCTCAACGGGTCCGTCCGTTCTAATAGCGCCACAATCTGTGCCACCTGATCAGAATTCGACTGCACACCAGTTGCACGACTCGTATCACTGCATCGGGAATTCGTTTAAGCGGTAGAATGAACTTAAACCGTGGGCAATTGATCAAACGAAAAGCAAGGAACACGTGGGCGAGCGTGTTCGCGGGTAAAAATACCACGATCGTTCTATAAATTGTTTCCTTGGTGAATCAAGCCTCCATTCATTTATTCATAGCCAAGTCTCGACTTAACTAGCTTACTTCGGTCACGATTGGCCCGGATAGAAGCTAGTCCAGGGACCACGCGAGGGCCATTTATTGGCACGAATTACCAGCCATCGAATTATATCAACCCGTTACCGGCCGAGGAATTTAAAAAGGCAAGAAGGAAAAGAAAAAATAAGGAAGAAAAGAGAGAAGGAGCGAGGAACGTGTATCTTCTCGACGCCATCGCGAAATTATTCCCGCGACAGGATCGGAGGAACTGCGACGCGAGGAAGGCGCCATTGTTTACGCCGCGAAATGGTACGGCGTTCGAGTTTTATCGTGACTTTTTTTTCTCCCTCTTTCCTTTTCAGCTATACCGCAAGCCCCATAACTTTCCTCGGCAATTTCTCCTCGGCGATTTCGAAACTCGTTCGATCGAAAGAGCCTGTCGACTTTCGTGGACGTCGACCAATGCCGCGAAGGCGCCATTTTCGAAATTTGGACTTTGGTAAAATATGTAGATAGCGATCCTCTCCGCCTGCGGTTCTTTCTCGTCCTTTTTTCTTGTGGCGTAAGTTATACGAGCTTGGAGATGGAATTTTGGACTTCTGTGTTATAATTCTGGGTATATTTAATTTTTCTGATTTCTGATTTCTTGTATGCGTGATTTTTCTTGGGAGTTAGGCAAAAGTAGTGCTTGTGAAGGGAAAATAAAATGGTTTGGAGTTGTTTGCATCTGTTGTCTACTCTGTGCTTTTTGGATTAGAGTAGATGCGTAGTTTTGATGTTAAAATTATTGGAATGTGAAACTTGGAAAGTTGAAAATATATAAATTATTGGAGTATAGGAATGAAAATGAGATAACATCGTATTAATATTAATCGGAAATGAATCATGCTTTTTTACACATCAGTTTCGAAATTTTGTATATTTATCAATTTGTTATTACCGGAATTTTGGATTAAATATGTATTTTTGACATTTCCTGAATAATTTGTAAATTCGATTGTCATAATTTTGTGGATTTATTACTTAGTTTTGAAACTCGAAAAATTAGTTTTGTATCTGTGATTGAGATACAAGTACAAAAATAGACGAAAACGAATTTATCGTTTCTGTACTGTATAATTTTCAGTTATAACCCTGATAGGCATAAAAATTATAATAAATAAGATACATATGTAAAATTTTATATTATAGAAATAGACTTTGTACCTATCAGGTTACTGACTATCAGCATGCGGCATAAGTAATGCAAATGTGGTTAGTAATGGATGTATGAAGACAAATAGTTTAAAAATTCATTTTGTACTTCGTACCTGTTATTTTACATTTTCATATCACCTTCGTGTTATTGTATAACGAAAATTTGAACTAGAATATTTTTTTTAACGTTAATATGTTCAACTTTGTACCTATCAGGTTACTGACTATCAG